TTCAAGGTTTTCCCCTCTTGAAAACGGTCAGGTAAACTTCTCATTCTTATTACAGTAAATAGGCCTGTTATGTGTGTATACATTAAAAAAAAAAAATAGTTGTTGCATACTGTACGTATTCTTTTTTCAATGAATCGATAAGCTCCAAAGAAAAGGAGCGGGGGTTCCGGGGTTCTCCCCCGGAAAAAATTTTGAATCCTAGATGGCGGGAAATGAGTTTTTCAGACTTCTGAGTTGTCTTAATTACTTTTTAAGTTCTTCAAATTTCAAGGTTTTCCCCTCTTGAAAACGGTCAGGTAATTTTTTCCCATTGTTATTACAGGAAATAGGCCTTATGTGTTTATACATAGGCCTACATAAAAATAAAAAATTAGTAGTTGCATGCGTATTCTTTTTTTAATAAATCGGTAAGCTCCAAAGAAAAGGCGGGAAATGAGTTTTCCCGACTTCCGAGGTGTCTTTTAATTACTTTTAAGTTCTTCAAAATTCAAGGTTTTCCCCTCTTGAAAACAGTCGGGTAAATTTATCCCTGTTATTACAGTAGATAGGCCTTATGTGTGTATACATACATAAAAAAGAAATGAGTAGTTTCATACAATTTTTTTCATGAATCCATAAATCCCAAAAAGAAAGGGGGTCCGGGGGTTCTGCCCCAGGAAAATTTTGATTCTTAGAAGGCGGGAAATGGGTTTTCCCGACTTCTGAGGCGTCTTTTAATTACTTTTAAGTTCTTTAAAATTCAAGGTTTTCCCCTCTTGAAAACGGTCAGGTAAATTTATCCCATTGTTATTACAGTAGATAGGCCTTATGTGTTTATACATACATAAAAAAAAATTGAGTAGTTGCATACGATTTTTTCCATGAATCCATAAATCCCAAAAAGAAAGGGGTGTCCGGGGGTTCTCCCCCAGCAAAATTTTGATTCTTAGAAGGTGGGAAATGAGTTTTCCCGACTTCTGAGGTGTCTTTTAATTACTTAAAAGTTCTTTAAAATTCAAGGTTTTCCCCTCTTGAAAACGGTCAGGTAAATTTATCCCATTGTTATTACAGTAGATAGGCCTTATGTGTGTATACATACATTTAAAAAATTGAGTAGTTGCCTACGATTTTTTTCCATGAATCCATAAATCCCAAAAAGGGAGGGGGGTCCGGGGTTCTCCCCCGTGAACATTTTGATTCCTAGAAGGCGGGAAATGAGTTTTCCCGACTTCTGAGTTGTCTTTTAATTTCTTTTAAGTTTTTTAAAATTCAAGGTTTCCTCTATTGAAAACGGTCAGGTAAATTTTTCCACTTGTTATTACAGTAAACAGGCCTTATGTGTGTATAAATACATTTTTTTTAAAATGAGTAGTTGGATACACCCCTCCCCCCCCTGGGGGTAGAAATATATTACACAAAGAAACGTCAAAAACAATACAGAAAGAATATCGGTTGTCTAGACAGGGAGGTATAACAAGTATAACAGATTATTGTGCGATTGTCAATGAAGCTCTGGTCTTCTAACCAGCGCCCATCCACAGCAGGAGCAGCGATGAAGTAATGCCGATGATGACATTTCCCCTAATGTATTTGTGTTTTAGACTGTACACTATTCCCAGTGGTGGTGCCCTCTCCTCCCCTCCCTCAATTTGTCAAAATTATTTAAAAAAAGAAATTTATTCAAATTTAAGTCTAAGTGTGCCATCTAGAGGTGCCATAACCATAATTTTTCCCTCAAGATATGAGAAAGTCCTTCCCTTGCTCCCTCTATTTCTAATTCCTAGATTAGCCACTGACAGTGCCCCTAAAATTTTTTCTAAATGAAAAAAAAAATTGGAGAAAAAAACATGATATTTAAATTGCGAGTGCAATTTCCTGCCATTTGGAGGTGGCTTAATCATAAATTTTCTTCCTTCATCCCCAATCATGGTGGGTCTGATGTGGTATCGCCTCCATCTGTGAAAGTCCTTCCCTGCCCCATCTTCAAGTTGATTCGCCACTGAAAACCTTTAATACATGCATCTTCAGAAATCGATTAAGTAAGACCTCAATTAACAAAAAATGCCTGAGCTCCGCCTCCTCAATCCCAGCCCTCTCTATGCGGCCAGCCAACCTCCCCCGCCCCTACCCTCTACAAATTCGCACCCACCCAATAAAAATCCTGCGTACGGGCCTGCCACCAGAAATAATTATAATAAATGATAAAGGGCAACCTGGCAGAGAAGGAAAGTGGATATTAACGGAATACAGACGACATAAAGGGAGAAAAAACAATACAGAATATAAGAAACTGTGGAACTTTTTTGTTACTGAGAATCTTACTGAGAATGATGTCTCTTGATCAGATAGGCCTAGATGACGGCTTAATGCTACCATAGATTACCGGTTACAGTTAAGTAATTGGTTAGTATTCCCATCAAATCCAGTCCAAACAGGTTAAATTATTCTATTTTTAAAGGTATTCTAGCATATTGGTAATCAAAAAGTTGATCCAATACTTCTAATCTCCGTTTCTGTTCAAGGCATTATAGTTTTAATGATTGTATAATATACTGAACTGAATATGTAATTTTACTTAGTCTGTAATAGCCCATGGTTAAACACTCTTACATCTTTTGCTGATTGTGTCGATATGATGTAGTACTCAGGGGCGGATTTAGGGAGGGGGAACGGCCCGGCCCGGCCCCCTTGGGAGGTAAAAAAAAAGAAAAAGAAAAGAAAAAGAAAGAAAAAGAAAAAAATGATAGCCCAGAACGCCAGAACGCCTCAAATGGTATTTTCGGGCGTCTAGAACACACAAATTTCGCGGGGGCGTGGCCCCGGACCACCTAGGACAGTGTTGTCTCGATCGGACCTCCTTTCGTCCCCCCCACCTTTTTTTGGACATCTCTGGGTCCACCCCAGTAGTACTGGATCTGGAATACTGGAACGTTCACGTAACGGTTGACAAAGTAAAGAAAACATTTGATAAGGTGTACACGAAAATATAGATTTACTACAGATTTTAATTTCTAAATTATCGTTGCAATGAGGCATATGAAAACGGTTGTAAAATTTACAATAAATGCGCTTGGTTTAGTTGCCATATAATCGAACAGGGCTGCTGGTATTATTACTACATTTCCCATTCATTCTGCTTGTGCGCCTATTTCTAATTGAGCACTGCCATTCGGTTATGCTTCACCTTCTGACTTTGAATCACCTGATCGCGCATCACCTTCTGGTTGTGCATCGCCGTCTCTGCAGTGTCAACATAATTGCTATTGCAGAGGTCAGTTGTACAGCACCGTGCCTACATACGGTCAAGCCTGTCATGTTCATACAAGCGTCAAAGCAGGATCATCACAAGACCTGGTATACATTTCCATAATTTTGTCTCCTTCTGCATAGCTCTAGAAAACTGTAAGTAACACAACAATTTTGGGTTTTTACATACACGTGAGGACGAAATTAAATGATTTAAAACAAAAATATTTGACAAGTATATGACTAAGCAACAATCATTTCTAGGATTTCTGGAATGTTAGCTTTAGACAACTGTAAGTAACCAATGATATGATTATATAAAAAATATTCAACAGGTGTATAATGACAAAGCCGAATGTTGTAGTAGATGTTTTTTGTTTTATAATTTTATGTAAAGTGCATAGAGGCACTGCGATGCGTTATGTAGGAGTAAAATTATTATATATTACAAATAATAATATTGAAATCAACCGAAGATGTTATGTAGAAGAACAAACAGTGCAAGACTGTATATGATTTATTGGTCACACTAACGTTACACCGTATTGCTTTATTTGTCCATAACAAAAGAACAAGCTGGATACAAAATATTAAATCAACCGTGTTATGCAGCTACTTTTATGAAGTACAGTACAAATAAAGCAATACGGAGTAACATATCACTGTGCAAGGAACCTGTGGAATATTACTCGTATCACTAGCGTTTGTGCAAAGTTCGGATCTTTAATTTGTGTAGGCCTACAGTTGTAGCACATTAATACGTTATCACCAGCTGAAATTCAATTAATAAAAAATAAATAAAAATCATCATATTCGAAAGATACGCTACTTATAACTTTGATTATACTTGCCTTCTGCTTCTTCGCCGAAGTCTATCTGAGTACCACCATCTGGTTGTACGTCACCTTCTGGTTGTAGATCGGTTGTCTGTGTAGTGTCGAGGTAATTCCCATTGCATAAATCAGTTGCGCAGCATTCGCTACATACGGTCATGTCGGAAATGTCTATACAAGTGTCAACACAGAATTGTTCACAAGACCTGAAATACATTTCCAGGTTTCTGGCTCCTATCGCCATGGTAGCTTTAGACAACTGTAAGTAATACAAAACTACAAGGTTTACGATCGGCATAATATCAAACCATATCACATATATTTGTGAGAAGCCAGATAATACAAAAATACAATAATTTAAATAAACCGAAAAGGTATGTCGTAAGTAGAACAAGCAGAATACTGAATGGCCTTATATAATTTAGTGGCTACACTGACGTAACTGGCTTCACTACGCCTGTCATATCCATACAAGCGTCAAAGCAGAATTATTCACAAGATCTATGTGTCTCCTATTGGTATGGTAGCTTTAGACAACATTAGGCAACACAAAGAATACTGGATTTTTACATACATTGGGGAGGACGGAATTACATGATTATAAAAAAAAAACCTATTCGACAAGTTTATGACAAGCAACAAAGCAGCAAGCATTTCCAGGATTATGCTCCTAGTGGATAGTAACTTTAGATAACTGCAAGCAATGCTATGATTATATGGAACTCAAAATGTGTAGTGTATATACACGAAGCCTCAAAACAACAAGCCGGATATTACAAATAGTAATATTGAAATCAACCGAAGATGTTATGTATAAGAACAAACAGTACAAGACTGTATGTAATTTATTGGTCACACCTACGTCAAAGATGTACCTTAAGTAGCAAACCTGAGACCACTAACTATGATCTTGATCTTGATCTTCATAGGAAATATTTAACAACTAGTCCAAGTAATGAAATACTCACCATACACATTCCTGCGCAAGGAACCTGTGGAATATTACTCGTATCACTTAGCGTCTGTCCGCAGGTCGGATCTTCAACTTGTGAACAGTTGTAGCACATTAATACATTGTCACCAGCTGAAAATTTAAATAATAAAAAAGTGTAGAAAACGTCATCACTAATATTCACAAGATACACCGTTTAATTTGGATTGTATACTTACCTTCCAGTTCTGCGACGTCCTCTGGTTGAGCACTGCCATCTGGTTGTACACTGTCTCTTATACACATCTAGATGTGTATAAGAGACAGATATAGAAATATTCGACAGGGGTTTAAAGACGAAGCCCCAAAACAACAAACCGGATACATAATATTGAAAGCAACTGAAGATGTTACGTGGATGTTAAGAAGAAAATCAAATACGGTATATAATTTAGTGACCACAGTGAGATTAGAGATTCAGGTCACAACCCCGAGCCACTGCTCCTAATTTATTTGATCTACATGGTAATATTTAACAATTAGACAAGTAACTAAATACATACAAACATTACATACAAATGTTAAACATTCAGGTCGCAACCTGAGGCTACTATCTATGTTTCTATTTCAATTGATCTCCATAGCACATATTTAAAAATTAGTTTAAATAATATTATACTTACCATACACATCCCTGTGCAAGGAACCTGTGGAATATTACTCGTATCACTTAGCGTCTGTCCGCAGGTCGGATCTTCAACTTGTGAACAGTTGTAGCACATTAATACATTGTCACCATCTGAAAATTGTATTAATAGAATAATGTAGAAAGCGTCATCACTAATATTCACAAGATACACCATATAATTTGGATTGTATACTTGCCTTCCGGTTCTGCAACGACGTCTGGATGAGCACTGCCATCTGGTTGTACATCAGCTTCTGGTTGAACATCACCTTCAGGTGTAGTGTCGACGTAATTACCATTGCAGAGATCAGTTGTACAGCACTCGCTACATACGGTCATGTCTGACACGAACGAAAAATCCATACAAGTGTCAAGGCAGGATTGTTCGCAAGACCTGAAATACATTTCTAGGATTGTGTCTTGTATCGGAGCGGTAGCTTTAGACAACTGTAAGAACCAATGATAGGATTATAAGAAATATTCGACAGGTGTTTAAAGATGAAGCCCCTAAACAACAAACCGGTTACATAATATTGAAATCAACTAATCAAATCAAATAAAATCAAATATGCATTTATTTTCCATACAATACAGTAATGCAGTAAATAAGAATGCAAATTGAAAAAAAAAATACATTGTATGGAAGGAGGCTACAGTAAGTTCTTGTAGAGCTTTAAGACGTAGCCACCTTTAACAAAACAGTTGGAAAAGTTACCGGCACCAATGATTAGCTGTATTTAAACTATTATAATCACAGAAAGATAACATCCTACTAATAATTAATTATAATAATTCCAATCCAGTTTTGAACATAAGGACACAAGACCAGACACATTAATTTAAGATTCAAATAGAAATGAGAGCAAGAAAAGAAAGAAAGATAATTAATTAATTACCATACACCAAGACAAAAGAATTCTTAAGATGATATTTAAAACTATTCAATGTAAATTTATTTTTTAGGTCATGTGGATGTTAAGATGTCATGTGGATGTTAAGAAGAAAATAAAATATGGTATATAATTTAGTGACCACAGTAACATCACAGTAACGTTATAGATTCAGGTCACAACCCCAGGCCACTACTTCTATTTCATTTGATCTACATAGGTAATATTTAACAATTAACCAAGTAACGAAATACAAATGCATACAAACATTACACATAAATGTTAAACATTCAGGTCGCAGCCTGAGGCCACTAACTATGTTTCTATTTTAATTGATCTCCATAGCACATATTTAAAAAATTAGTTTAAATAATATTATACTTACCATACACGTCCCTGTGCAAGGAACCTGTGGAATATTACTCGTATCACTTAGCGTTTGTCCGCAGGTCGGATCTTCAACTTGTGAACAGTTGTAGCACATTAATACATTGTCACCAGCTGAAAATTTAAATAATAAAAAAATGTAGAAAACGTCATCACTAATATTCACAAGATACACCGTTTAATTTGGATTGTATACTTACCTTCCAGTTCTGCGACGTCCTCTGGTTGAGCACTGCCATCTGGTTGTACATCATCTTCTGGTTGTACATCACCTCCAGGTGTAGTGTCGACGTAATTACTATTGCAGAGATCAGTTGTACAGCACTCGCTACATACGGTCGTGTCTGACACGAACGAAAAATCCATACAAGTGTCAACGCAGAATTGTTCGCAAGACCTGGAATACATTTCTAGGATTGTGCCTTGTATCGGAATGGTTGCTTTAGACAACTGTAAGAACCAATGATAGGATTATATAGAAATATTCGACAGGCGTTTAAAGACGAAGCCCCAAAACAACAAACCGGATACATAATATTGAAAGCAACTGAAGATGTTATGTGGATGTTAAGAAGAAAATAAAATACGGTATATAATTTAGTGACCACAGTGAGCTTGGAGATTCACGTCACAACCCCATGCCACTATTCCTAATTTATTTGATCTACATGGTAATATTTAACAATTAGCCAAATAACTAAATACATACAAACATTACATACAAATGTTAAACATTCAGGTCGCAACCTGAGGCTACTATCTATGTTTCTATTTCAATTGATCTCCATAGCACATTTTTTTTAAAAATTAGTTTAAATAATATTATACTTACCATACACATCCCTGTGCAAGGAACCTGTGGAATATTACTCGTATCACTTAGCGTCTGTCCGCACGTCGGATCTTCAACTTGTGAACAGTTGTAGCACATTAATACATTGTCAACAGCTGAAAATTTATATAATAAAATTGTTTTAATAGTCATCACTGATATTCGAAAGATTATAATATATTTTGGATTATACTTGCCTTCCGGCTTTTCGAAGACGTCTGTTTGAGCACTGCCTCCTGGTTGTAATTCACCTTCTGGTAGTACATCGCTTGTCTGTGCAGTCTCGTCATAATTACCATTGCAGAGATCAGTTGTGCAGCACTGGCTACATACGGTTATACTAGTCATGTTCATACAAGTGTCAAGGCAGAATTGTTCACAAGACCTGATATACATTTCTAGGATTGTGCCCCCTATCGGCATGGTAGCTTTAGACAACTATAAGAAACCAATAATATGATTATAAAGAAATATTTGACAGGTAGGCCTATATAGACGAAGCCCCAAAACAAGACATATATTACAAATAGATATTGAAAAAAACTTTTATGTAGCTGTTAAGGAGAAGAAATAAAGGAATAATGTGTATAAATTAGTGGCCACACTAACGTTAGAGATTCAGATCGAAAAACTGAGGCAATTAACTGTGCTTATATTTCATATGATCTCCATAGGTAATATTCAATTAATGAAATACATACCATGCACACTCCTGTGCAAGGAACCTGTGAAATACTACTCGTATCAGTAAGCGTTTGCCCGCATTCCGGATCGTCAGCTTGTGTACAGTTGTAGCACATCAATACATTGTCAACAGCTGAAAATTTAATTAAAAAAACTGTCATCAAAAAAGTCATCACTGATATTCAAAAGATTATAATATATTTTGGAGTACACTTGCCTTCCGGTTCTGCAACGACGTCTAGATGAGCACTACCATCTGGTTGTACATCAGCTTCTGGTTGTACATCACCTTCAGGTGTAGTGTCGACGTAATTACCATTGCAGAGATCAGTTGTACAGCACTCGCTACATACGGTCATGTCTGACACGAACGAAAAATCCATACAAGTGTCAACGCAGAATTGTTCGCAAGACCTGGAATACATTTCTAGGATTGTGCCTTGTATCGGAACGGTAGCTTTAGACAACTGTAAGAACCAATGATAGGATTATATAGAAATATAGATACATAATATTGAAATCAACTGAAGATGTTATGTGGATGTTAAGAAGAAAGTAAAATACGGTATATAACTTAGTTACCACTTTGTGAGATTAGAGATTCAGTTCACAACCCCAGGCCACTACTTTTATTTCATTTGATCTACATATGTAATATTTAACAATTAGCCAAGTAACGAAATACAAATGCATACAAACATTACACATAAATGTTAAACATTCAGGTCGCAGCCTGAGGCCACTAACTATGTTTCTATTTCAATTGATCTCCATAGCACATATTTAAAAATTAGTTTAAATAATATTATACTTACCATACACATCCCTGTGCAAGGAACCTGTGGAATATTACTCGTATCACTTAGCGTCTGTCCGCAGGTCGGATCTTCAACTTGTGAACAGTTGTAGCACATTAATACATTGTCAACAGCTGAAGATTTAATTAATAAAATTGTTTTAAAAAGTCATCACTGATATTCGAAAGATTATAATATATTTTGTATTATACTTGCCTTCCGGCTTTTCGAAGACGTCTGTTTGAGCACTGCCTTCTGGTTGTAATTCACCTTCTGGTAGTACATCGCTTGTCTGTGCAGTCTCGTCATAATTACCATTGCAGAGATCAGTTGTGCAGCACTGGCTACATACGGTTATACTAGTCATGTTTATACAAGTGTCAAGGCAGAATTGTTCACAAGACCTGATATACATTTCTAGGATTGTGCCCCCTATCGGCATGGTAGCTTTAGACAACTATAAGAAACCAATAATATGATTATAAAGAAATATTCGACAGGTTAGGCCTATATAGACGAAGTCCCAAAACAAGACATATATTACAAATAGATATTGAAAAAAACTTTTATGTAGCTGTTAAGGAGAAGAAATAAAGGAATAATGTGTATAAATTAGTGGCCACACTAACGTTAGAGATTCAGATCGAAAAACGGAGGCAACTAACTGTGCTTATATTTCATTTGATCTCCATAGGTAATATCCAATTAATGAAATACATACCATGCACACTCCTGTGCAAGGAACCTGTGAAATACTACTCGTATCAGTAAGCGTTTGCCCGCATTCCGGATCGTCAGCTTGTGTACAGTTGTAGCACATCAATACATGGTCAACAGCTGAAAATTTAATTAAAGAAACTGTCATCAAAAAAGTCATCACTGATATTCAAAAGATTATAATATATTTTGGAGTACACTTGCCTTCCGGTTCTGCGACGACGTCTGGATGAGCACTGCCATCTGGTTGTAGGCCTACATCAGCTTCTGGTTGAACATCACCTTCAGGTGTAGTGTCGACGTAATTACCATTGCAGAGATCAGTTGTACAGCACTCGCTACATACGGTCATGTCTGACACGAACGAAAAATCCATACAAGTGTCAAGGCAGGATTGTTCGCAAGACCTAAAATACATTTCTAGGATTGTGTCTTGTATCGGAACGGTAGCTTTAGACAACTGTAAGAACCAATGATAGGATTATAAGAAATATTCGACAGGTGTTTAAAGATGAAGCCCCTAAACAACAAACCGGTTACATAATATTGAAATCAACTAATCAAATCAAATCAAATCAAATATACATTTATTTTCCATACAATACAGTAATGCAGTAAATAAGAATGCAAATTGAAGAAAAAAAATACATTGTATGGAAGGAGGCTACAGTAAGTTCTTGTAGAGCTTTAAGACGTAGCCACCTTTAACAAAACAGTTGGAAAAGTTACCAGTACCAATGATTAGCTGTATTTAAACTAATATAATCACAGAAAGATAAAATTCTACTAATAATTAATTATAATAATTCCAATCCAGTTTTGAACATAAGGACACAAGACCAGACACATTATTTCAAGACTCAAATAGAAATGAGAGCAAGAAAAGAAAAAAAGATAATTAATTAATTACCATACACCAAGACCAAAGAATTCTTAAGATGATATTTAAAACTATTCAATGTAAATTTATTTTTTAGGTCATGTGGATGTTAAGATGTCATGTGGATGTTAAGAAGAAAATAAAATACGGTATATAATTTAGTGACCACAGTAACATCACAGTAACGTTATAGATTCAGGTCACAACCCCAGGCCACTGCTTCTATTTCATTTGATCTACATAGGTAATATTTAACAATTAGTCAAGTAACGAAATACAAATGCATACAAACATTACACATAAATGTTAAGCATTCAGGTCGCAGCCTGAGGCCACTAACTATGTTTCTATTTTAATTGATCTCCATAGCACATATTTAAAAAATTAGTTTAAATAATATTATACTTACCATACACATCCCTGTGCAAGGAACCTGTGGAATATTACTCGTATCACTTAGCGTTTGTCCGCAGGTCGGATCTTCAACTTGTGAACAGTTGTAGCACATTAATACATTGTCACCAGCTGAAAATTTAAATAATAAAAAAAATGTAGAAAACGTCATCACTAATATTCACAAGATACACCGTTTAACTTGGATTGTATACTTACCTTCCAGTTCTGCGACGTCCTCTGGTTGAGCACTGCCATCTGGTTGTACATCAGCTTCTGGTTGTACATCACCTTCAGGTGTAGTGTCGACGTAATTACTATTGCAGAGATCAGTTGTACAGCACTCGCTACATACGGTCATGTCTGACACGAACGAAAAATCCATACAAGTGTCAAGGCAGGATTGTTCGCAAGACCTAAAATACATTTCTAGGATTATGCCTTGTATCGGAACGGTAGCTTTAGACAACTGTAAAAACCAATGATAGGATTATATAGAAATATTCGACAGGCGTTTAAAGACGAATCCCCAAAACAACAATCCGGCTACATAATACTGAAAGCAACTGAAGATGTTATGTGGATGTTAAGAAGAAAATATAATACAGTATATAATTTAGTGACCACAGTGACGTTAGAGATTCAGGTCACAATCTGAGAACACTGCTCCTATTTTATTTGATCTACATAGGTAATATTTAACAATTAGCCAAGTAATGAAATACATACAAACATTACATACAAATGTTAAAGATTCAGGTCGTAACCTCCTCATGCTACTATGTTTCTATTTCAATTGATCTCCATAGCTCATATTTAAAAATTAGTTTAAATAATATTATACTTACCATACACATTCCTGTGCAAGGAACCTGTGGAATATTACTCGTATCACTTAGCGTCTGTCCGCAGGTCGGATCTTCAACTTGTGAACAGTTGTAGCACATTAATACATTGTCACCAGCTGAAAATTGTATTAATAGAAAAATGTAGAAAACGTCATCACCAATATTCAAAAGATACACCGTATAATTTGGATTGTACACTTGCCTTCCGTTTCTGCAACGACGTCTGGGTGAGCACTGCCATCTGGTTGTACATCAGCTTCTGGTTGAACATCACCTTCAGGTGTAGTGTCGACGTAATTACCATTGCAGAGATCAGTTGTACAGCACTCGCTACATACGGTCATGTCTGACACGAACGAAAAATCCATACAAGTGTCAACGCAGAATTGTTCGCAAGACCTGGAATACATTTCTAGGATTGTGCCTTGTATCGGAACGGTAGCTTTCGACAACTGTAAGAACCAATGATAGGATTATATAGAATATTCGAAAGGTGTTAAAAGACGAAGCCCCAAAACAACAAACCGGATACATAATATTGAAATCAACTAAAGATGTTATGTGGATGTTAAGAAGAAAATCAAATACGGTATATAATTTAGTTACCACAGTTACATATTCAGAACACAACCTGAGACCACTGCTTCTATTTTATTTGATTTACATAGGTAATATTTAACAATTAGCCAAGTAACGAAACACATACAAACATTACATACAAATGTTAAAGATTCAGGTCCTAACCCGAGGACACTAACTATGTTTCTATTTCAATTGATCTCCATGGCTCATATTTAATAATTAGTTTAAATAGCTCATTGTTTATATTTTCTTACGAATTTGTATATCCTAATAAATTAGTTGTAATACTAATTATGGTTTATATATTTATATATATAGGCCTATATATATATGTGTATATATATATAATATATATATATGCTGTCTCTTATACACACCTTAGCGAAAGATTATAATATATTTTGTATTATACTTGCCTTCGGGCTTTTCGAAGACGTCTGTTTGAGCACTGCCTTCTGGTTGTAATTCATCTTCTGGTAGTACATCGCTTGTCTGTGCAGTCTCGTCATAATTACCATTGCAGAGATCAGTTGTGCAGCACTGGCTACATACGGTTATACTAGTCATGTTCATACAAGTGTCAAGGCAGAATTGTTCACAAGACCTGATATACATTTCTAGGGTTGTGCCCCCTATCGGCATGGTAGCTTTAGACAACTATAAGAAACCAATAATATGATTATAAAGAAATATTCGACAGGTAGGCCTATATAGACGAAGCCCCAAAACAAGACATATATTACAAATAGATATTGAAAAAAAACTTTTATGTAGCTGTTAAGGAGAAGAAATAAAGGAATAATGTGTATAAATTAGTGGCCACACTAACGTTAGAGATTCAGAATGAAAAACTGAGGCAACTAACTGTGCTTTTATATTTCATTTGATCTCCATAGGTAATATCCAATTAATGAAATACATACCATGCACACTCCTGTGCAAGGAACTTGTGAAATGCTACTCGTATCAGTAAGCGTTTGCCCGCATTCCGGATCGTCAGCTTGTGTACAGTTGTAGCACATCAATACATTGTCAACAGCTGAAAATTTAATTAAAGAAACTGTCATCAAAAAAGTCACTGATATTCAAAAGATTATAATATATTTTTGACTACACTTGCCTTCCGGTTCTGCGACGACGTCTGTTTGAGCACTGCCATCTAGTTGTGCATCACCTTCTGGTTGTAGATCGGTTGTCTGTGTAGTGTCGACGTAATTTCCATTGCAGAGATCAGTTGTGCAGCACTGGCTACATACGGTTATACCAGTCATGTTCATACATGTGTCAAGGCAGAATTGTTCACAAGACCTGGTATACATTTCCATGATTGTGTCTTCTATAGGCATGGTAGTTTTAGACATCTATTAAACACAAAATACAGGGTTTACGATTGACATAATCAAATTATATGGCACATACATTGGCGAAGAGCCTTTGATATTTAATTATATATCATTTGGCTGGCAAAAGGCCACAATATTGAGTAAATACAAAACAAAACTGAAACGGTATGTATTGCTAAGCAAAATTAGCTGTGGAATGATATTATTATTTCATATTTGTTGTTCTCTGTAAACGAAATAAAATAATTTTGATCTATAAAGGAAACTTTATCAATCATAAATTACCAAACAATCTTATCTTAACCGAGACTCGAACTTGGAATATGCTACAATTTGCATAGTAACATTATAGTATTTTGCTACCAAAGTGTCAGATTACTTGTGACTTAATCTCCATAAGTCATATATTTATGAATAAAACCAACGTGATGATACTCTTACCATGCACGACCCTGAGCAAGTAGCCTGAGGAATACTACTCATGTCTCCTAGCGTATGTCCGCAGGACGGGTCTTCATCCTGGGTACATTTGTAACAAATCAATGCATTGTTACCATCTGAAGATGAAATAATTATATATTTAATTTGCAAAACGCACCACTGATTTCAACGACTAAATAACTAAATATTTTCTACCTTGCCATACATTAAATAATATATACATATATAGGCATATATATATAGGCCTATATATATGTATATATATTGTATTGTTATTATATTATTATTACTATAACCCAGACATACATACATATATATATATATACATATGTGTGTATATATATATGTATGTATAATAACCCAGACATACATATCCTACATATATATACATATATATGTGTGTATATATATGTATATATACATATACATATACATTATATATACATATGCATATATATACATAAATTTATATAAATATATATACATATATATATACATATTTAAGTGTAAATTTAACACTCTGGTAGGATCGTGGGTGATGTCTTTCTGACCGTGGTTTTACAGGGTAAGCCTATCAGTTACATTAATGATCATTAAAATTCCTTACTGATAATGTACATGATGGCAACAGCCACAACAAGAGTTCTGTAGTTCATGATTTTACCACCTGCCTGAAAACACAAAAATCATTAAATTTTAGTTTGTTGGTGCAGAGTTAATATACTTTAATTTAAAGAAAATTGTATTATCGTTGATCACGGGTTTGTTTATGTAGACAACGAAATGTGGAATTGCTTCGAAGATGGAATTAAAACCAAGAGAAACGTCAATTCGCTTTTGATATTTTAAGTGTTAAATTAGATAATCTACTAGAGTGGAAGTGTTGTCGAACCTGGAATTCAAAATTTAAATCCGATTCGAAGCAACTCTTTCCTACTATAGTTGTGGTAACAGCACATTGGTAGGTCGCAGCTGGGAAATCATACCACAGATCAACGTGTGTGAGCGTTTCAGTCAGTTGTATGAGGGAAACACTCTGGTGGTTAAATTTGCAAGTACTGTATATCTATAGGTCTCCGTGGTCTAATGGATATGATGCTCACCTTGATACATATTCGTATTCCTGAATGATTTTTCAGTCATTTTGAAAATTCCGCTAAACTTCCTTTTCTAAAGGTGCTCCACTATAGAACGTGTCGATATGCGCCGTCAGCCGTCGTTAAGTTGGCGATCTTTGCCAAAGTCAATAATCAAAACAGCAGTTTCATGCTTGCAATGACTTTATAGACCATTGATTTTAAATATTAAAAATGTTGAAAAGCAATCTAATCTAATCTAGTGACAGATTAAATGGGGGGGAAGCCGGTCCCCCTAAATGTTTCAAAATTTTAAACAAAAAATGGAAATAAAAAGAAAATTATATTCAATTTTTAAGTTTGTGAGTGCCATAGGTGCTATAATCATAAATGTTCTTAATTCAATCCCAACTATTGTGGGGCTGAGACCTTCTATCTGTGAAATTCCCTCACTTTTCCCCCTCTAATTTAAATTCCTGGGTCTCGCCACTGACCATTTATTTCGTCATTTAAAACATTTAGAATACAATGACAAGATTAAAATCGAGCACATCTGAAACCTAACAATAGAATTGGCCACTGGGACCCCGAAAGGGTCCCCAGTCTTAGAAAGTCACAGGGCCCCGGCCCCAGCATATCCGAAAACTGGGGAAAATATGATTATGAAATACCTGAAAAACTTTAAGCATTAATAGGTCTTCTAACACCTCTTTTTTCCTATAGACCTACAGTACATGAATTCGGCCTTTTGATCGTTTCGTGGAAAGTTGACCACTTAAGCAGTGTCCTCTGAAAGGGGGGGGGGGATATTCCAAAGAAGAAAAGATTATTAGCCTAGGCCTACATTATTCTTTTGTGGGAAATTACTGCATTTTCACGTGCATGCGTAGATCCCACTACTATGCAACACAAATTCCAACTCTTATGGCAAAGTCATTATAACTGGTAAACAGGAACAGGTAACAGTAGTATACAATTGATTGAAGACTACAATTGAAGAGTTATACCTATTAATTTTCGTGTGTGGATTAGATAAGTCAAATATAGACTGGACAATAACTGAACATAGATGTTTAGATAATACCCCTAGCGAGTTAGGGGAGGGCTATGTCAGTGCCTCCCTGTCAGTGGTGGCTCCAGGATTTCCCCGGCGGGGGTCCAAGGCGCCCGACGGGAGGAGACGGGGGCTGATGTCCCCGACGAGAAAAAAGTGGGTGTGGTCGGACGTCGCTAAGAATCGAAAGTAGTCCAGAGGACGTAGCCCCAAAAAATATGACAATTTAGAGGTTTTAAAGTCTTATTTAATCGATTTTAGAGTCTAAAATATGTACAAAAAATACATATAGTTTTTTTTTATTTTTTTTTCTCCCCGACGAATTGTGGTTTTTCTCCCCAAAGGGGGTGGGGCAAGGCTATTTAAATTGCGTTTCTTACCAATTTGGATCCGACAGTGATATGAACCGGTGTGTAATCATAAAATTACATTCAGTCAGATAGACCGTCCAGCCTACTATACGCCGTGTCGATGCATGATGTGAACTGTGTATATGTGAATAATATCGTATGTTCCATAGGCCTACATTGTTATATCAAGTACGAAACTGAAATTTGATAATTGTATTTATGACCCTTACATGATAGCTGTAAGTGACTCTAAATACAAGCCTACAATACAAATCCCCTACATCAAGAAACTTTGTAATATAGTAAACTGTTTTAAACTAATAGGCTGTCTAAATTTTTACAAAAAATTAAAACCTGTATTTAATGTTAACTTACGGTTTGACGGGGTAAGATCTATTTGCAATCGAACGGCGATAGTCACAATTTACATAGACGGGATTTTAGCGGTCATCAGCTTCTTATATCACAGTGTCGAGGTATATATCGTGTCGTCAGATCTAAAACGAGTGAAGAATGACTGACCTCGAACAAACCCACCAATAGCAGCATTTTGGGCACCATCATCAGCAGAAATCTCTGGAGGAAATTATTGGTTACAATACATTAGTGTAAGCCATGAGTATTAGCTCATGTTACTACAGTACCTTTAAGCCCTGAGATTATATCACTGAAAATGGGTGCAAGTTTCTCAGTCTGGTTTTCTTGAATTCAGAACTGTCCTTATTTCTTGTTGCTGCTCTCATGTTCAAAACCCAAACTCTCAAAAATTAAAAGTAGCATATATGCATAAAAAGCAAAATTTACTTATATTTCAAAAAGTTATTAGTTTTCAAAATAAAAAGGAAAAATGATCTTTGTAAATTCATAACAAATCAAATTTATTTCATTTGCAAGTGAAACAATACAAGGAAAACGAAGGTTAAGGGAATTTCAACCCGGAGAGGATGCAAAATCACTGCCCGTTGTTATATTTTAATAATTGGCTTGGAGAGGACCGAATTCAACAGGAGGGTTGCGAATTCACGAGATTAAGTGTCTATAACATCGGTCTAGGAGAGCCATTTGTTTATGAAGTGGCTCACTTTTTGGAATTAAATACTGTATTGTCCTGCAGGCGACATTCATTTTCACTTGTCTACTTTTAACGTATTAATAATTGTAAAGTTATACTGTCGCCCAATTCAAGTATATAGACTGCTTGAAAAACATTGAATTAGCCTAATGTGTAGTTATAAGTTTTAAAATAAAAAAATTAACATTTCTGGTAGAAAAGGATGTTTTTAAGTAAAATTCTGTAAATAGATTTTTTTGGATGTCAGTATATAAATGTATCCTAAGGAATTAATGAAATTAAATGAAAATGAGGAATTCATTGCTGTCCAAGCATCCGCTTATCCGATTAACAACCAGTTATAAATATATAGAATCACAGATGTTGCTTCGGGGCTTGAGGGCGGTGCTGTGCCAGCATGGAGGTGGTATGAAACGGTATCTGTGCACGCAGGTTGTCAATGACGTCATCGATTCTCCATAGTCTCTTTTAAGGGAATTTCATGAAAAAAATTACCGTACGGGTATACGGACTTTCCTTTATATGTTGTGTTTGCTTACGTTAAATAAACCCATTTCACCATGATTGTTGAACAGTTTTGTAATTTAATTAAGAGAATGTTCAGAAGCAGTGGCGGATCCAGGAATCCAAAATAGGGCCCGAGGAGGTGCTTCCACAGATGGAGGATCCATACCACCTCAGCTCCACCATGGTTGGGACTGAGGTAAGAAAATGTTTTATTATGCACCTCTAGATGACCGGAAATTGGGCCGGATGCACGCCACTCCCCCACACCACCCCCCACCCCCCCGGCCACTAAGAAATATACAGGTGAGGATATTGGTTTGGGAAATTAAGGACACCTCTTTTGTCTCCCTAAGTTATAAAATCAGTGATATTTCATCTTTATCTATTTATATGCTTTTCCCCCATTAAATTACGAACTACATTAACATAACGTATAAGACGTAAAGCAAGTACAGACCCCCTCCTTTCGGACAACAGCCCTCTAAGTGGATACTTTTAGCCGCGAGGCTATAGGGAAATAGGCTTATTGGTATGATGATATCTCACATTTTAATTATTTTTTACCCTCTGTGTTATTAATGTTTTTGTTTTTTTTCTAAATGTTCGCCAATGGAATGCGATCAGCATAAATATCGGGTTTTATTGACTTTTGCCATATCCTCTGCATTATTAAGCCTTTCAGTATTGTCTCGTTCAGTTGTACAGTACCGTATCTTTTATCGTTTTACTCAAAATAATTTTATACAAGACTATCATTTTAATAATAATAATAATAATTCTGGATTTATTTTTTTCATTTTATTTTATTTTTTTAAAATTTTATCTCACAATTTTAATATTGTAATTTTTATTGGTAGTTTTAAGTGTCCTGTAGTTTATGTGTAGTGATTTTAATTGATTTTATCTTTTAACTTATTTATTTATTTATTTATTTATTTGTTTGTTTGTTTGTTTGTTTGTTTGTTTGCTTGCTTGCTTGCTTGCTCGCTCGCTCGCTCGTTCGTTCGTTCGTTCGTTCGTTCGTTCGTTCGTTCATTCATTCATTCATTCATTCATTCATTCATTCATTTATTTATTTATTTATTTATTTATTTATTTATTTATTTATTTATTGGTGGAAAACTATCCCCCGCCGGACACCAACCCGGTACTTCTGAGTCAAGGTTTCGGGGCCAGGAATTACAGGTCAAGGTGATGCTTAACTACAACTTAACTACAATAGGGTAGAAACTATCCCCTGCCGGACACCAACCCGGTATTTCTGAGTCAAGGTTTCAGGGCCGGGATTACCAGGTAGGACAAATACTGTACAATTACTTAAATAGATAAAAATGGTAGAAACTATCCCCCGCCGGACACCATCCCAGTATTTCTGGGTCAAGGTTTCGGGGCTGTCACAACTTTTATCTTAACTACAAACCTAACTAAACAATTGTAAAAACTATCCCCCGCCGGACACCATCCCGGTATTTCTGAGTCAAGGTTTCGGGGCTGTCACAACTTTTATCTTAACTACAAACCTAACTAAACAATGGTAAAACTATCCCCCGCCGGACACCATCCCGGTAGTTTCGGGGCCGGGAATAAATGTTAAAAGTATAGACCAAGAAAATATAAAAGGAAATGATTGTGAAATCAGAAAAAGTGTTTCTTATAAGTAATTTTGAATAAATTAAGAGATTGACATTCTTGAATTCTGATTGGGATTTTGTTCCAAGCTTTTGCTCCAGAGATTTTTAAAGAGCCATTCATTACAGAGCAATTTGGAATTTGGACATTAAGCGAGTGAGCGTATCTCGTAGAATATCCATGTCGGTCAACAACCATTTCTATATCATTACATAGGCGGGAAGGCGCAACACCATTTATACATTTGTACATTAAACATGCAAGGGCGTAATCTCTACATTCATCAAAAAGTTTCCAATTATTTTGCTTAATAAGATCAATTTCACGAAAATTTATAAAATCAAAATTATTTTTAACTATTCCAGCAGCTCGTTTTTGTAGCCTTAATGGAATGTTTTTGTTTTTGTTAGACGTAGTTCCCCACACTGAGATTGCATAGCCCATACAGGGTTGTATTGTACTTCTATAAAGAATATTTAGAAGAGATTCATTTAGTGTTTCTGCCAATTTATTTAGGATGTTAATTTTGTACACAATAGTTTTATTTAATTTTCGAATATGGTCATTCCAGGTAAGGTTTTCATCAATTTGAAGTCCTAAATAACGGATGTTTTTTACCTCATCAATGGTTTCATTATCAACATGAATATTCAAAGAGGAAAGAGGGCGAACATTTCTATTTTTAATTAACATAAGTTTGGTTTTGGTAGAATTTACAAGTAATTTATTAAATTTATACCAATTTGCGACATTATTATTATTATTGATTGTAATTTGATATTGATATTTTCTACCGATTTGTCAGTAGTGTAGATGACAACATCATCCGCATGCATATATGCTACATGATCCTGGAGATACATATTGTGGAAGGTCATTAATAAATAATGAAAATAAGATCGGTCCTAACACACTACCCTGTGGGATGTCAATTTCAACATTTGCTTTTTCAGATACCGGTAATTTATTATGACATTTGACTACTTGTTTGCGCTGTGAAAGATAACTTTTAAACCATTTGATTTCAGTGGCTTTAATGCCATAATTTTCTAATTTAGCTAGGAGAAGAGTATGATCAATGGAGTCAAAGCATTTAGATATGTCGAGAAAACAGGCTCCAATCATTTCATGGTCATTCAAAGTTTCCATCCATTCATCTATAACTCGATGAAGGCAAGTGATGGTGGTCCAGGAGTGGTATTTTCTGAAGGCATATTGATCTACACTTATGAGATCATTTTCGTTTAAATAACTAACTAATTGATTCTGAATTTCTCTTTCAACAATTTTTGAAATACATCCACTACCTTTATAGATAGGTGTTGTTTTTGTGAGTTTCCAATCCTCAGGAACAATACCCAGCCTAATAGACAAATTTATTATAGAGGAAAGAGATTTTGCAATATATTGTGAGGCAAACTAAGCAATTTTGAATCAAAATTCAGAATATCCAAATTACTGCTTTCGGACAGACCTGAAAGGGCATTTTCAATATTTTCAAATGTTACCATGTTAAAATTTAATTTGTGGATACATAAAGGATGTTTCCATTCAGGAGTAGTACTTTCAAAAGATTTAGAAATTTCCTATCCAATATTTGAGAAAAAATTATTAAAGCTTTCACAATTTAGGTCAGGGTGGACACTATTTCTATTTGAATCCTTCCCTATAGTTCTGCCTAGTTCCTCCCATAATTTTTTTGAGTTATTTTTGTATTTGTTTTCAACATTATCAAAGTAAACTTAGGATTTTTTTTTATTAAGGAACACTGCATGCCAAGATCGCAAAGGTTTAATGTGTCTCCTTTTCTCCAGCAATATTTTACAATTTTAATTGTCTCGATAAATTTTGTTTCAAATGTATTGAATAAAAATGAATTGAAGTTGAAGTAGGTCCATTCTGTGTATAATGAATGGATAAACCAATGGTGTGTACCGCTGGTTTAAATAATTAATATCTGAACAAATTTATTGATAAATACTCCTATGATTTAGCCTAACGCATTTCGTTACTTAAAATATTTTCTTCGATTAATATACATTTTTATTCCCTCTTTCAAAGCCAATTGTTACTCCATGTTTTGGAAGCAATTTGTATCCCTATATTTTTAAACCCACCTCGTCCCACCACCAGGTTATTTGTTGACAATCCCAAAATTGCGTACGATTCATCGAGATGCCAATCAGGGGTCGGCTGTTTAGATGAGTCTCGCCGAGTTGCCGAGTTTGTCAATTAAGAATTTGAATTGACAAGCAATATATCTTTGATAATACAGAAGTAAGTATTAAGCGTAGGCCTATTTGTTAAATATCTGATACAGAAATCAGCTAGTCATTGGTTATTTTCCCATGGAATTTTATTCCGATATAGATACATAAATATACATACATATAATTCTATTCCTTAAACCAAATAAAGTACACTGACATCAACTTAAAAAATAGGCCTATTAACAATGATGCGTTAATATTTTTGAAATTGTGGATCTTAAACAATTGACAACTGGAAGCCAAAGAAATGTAACGTACTTCGTCTTTAAAAATTGAAATTTAGAAATTAATATAAAGCAAGGCAGTGGCGTATCTAGAAGATGCGCAAGGGGCAGGGGAAGAAACACTCCTCCCACATAAAAAATACCACCCAGTCCCCTTCCCCATTGAAAATGTACCAAGCCTCAAAACAATCATGCTGAAGTAGCGCCCCTCACCTAATCATCGATCCCCACTTTACGTTCGCCCCCATCGGCTTAACGTAATCATCAAGTCCACCGCCGCGCCCCCCCCCCCCCCCCCATCCACCTTCTCCCTCCCTTCAAAACATCTAGATACGCCACTTCAATTAGGTAATACAGTAGTAAACTAGACATTTTCAAGTTGAATTGCTCATCGTTGTGTTAATTAAAAATGTCTGTCAGCTTTAATTACAAATCAGAATTTAAAAAATTCTTGGGCCAATTAATAGACGCATTATAAAACGTCTATAATCGTACAACCCTTTAATTAGTTGGTAATCAGTTTAAGAATTTTTCAGCAACAAACATTTTAATAAATACAAATTTGATTGATTTCTTTTAAGTGAGCAATTCAATGTTTTAAATAAAATTACAAGTCGCTTTTCTATTTTCTGTCAGACATTACCATACCGGTATAATTTCTCTGATTTTCCTAAAAGTATTACTGTATTCTGATTCTTTTCAGCGCAGGGGGTTAAGACATATTTTCTCTATGGTTACTATCACCTCAATGAACAGGAAAGGTAGTATCTGCACAAACATGCAGAAGTACTATACTGTCTTCATGTATAGGTTTGCCATGTGAACTTACAAAATACACAAGACACGTTTTTATTGTTGTTAATGACGACCTTCGAACTGAACATCACTCAAACCCACGTTATTTCTCATAATATTTTATTGGGATTACAATGAATTACTGTATGGACTTTTGTTAAAATGTGTGGGCTGAATATACAATATAAGGGCAACTCCATCAACTCTTTTAAAGTGTGTTACAATAATGCTTTAAGGCAATTTCCGGGTAAATCGAGCAGTGTTACCACAGCCGGTATTGTATTGGTACCTACGGTACCCTAGGCTTGAATTCATAAGACCCTAGGCTTGAATTCATAAGACCCTATGTGTAGATTGATAGAAAAAGTATGCATCGGAGAATAAACTTGTGCCAGTGCCAGGTATCGTTAATTCAATCTAAAGTTATTCCAATTCATTCAACAATTATATTTTACTATATAAATAAATAGAAAATATAAATATTTATATATATACATATATATACATATATATATATATATATATATATA